CCCAGGGGTGGGCAAACTTTTTGACTCGAGGGCCACCATGGGTTCTTAAACTGGACGGGGGGCCGGAACAAAAGCATGGATGGAGTGTCTGTGTGAACTAATATACATTCAAAGTAAACATCATTACATAAAAGGGTACCGTCTTTTTTTTTGTTTTTTAGTTTTATTCATTTCAAATGGGCCGGATCCGGCCCGCGGGCCGTAGTTTGCCCACAGCTGTCCTAGAGCAAATAATTCAGAAGATGGAACAAGGAAGAAGCCATATTTTTATGACAGAGCCTCAGAAGTGACACCCTGTCTGTCACTTCATCATATTCTATTCAATAAAAACGAGTCAGTGAGTGCAACCTATACTTAAGGAGAGGGAAATCAAACTCCACCTTTTGAAGGGACTATTGTCACAGAGTTTGTGGACATATTTGAAAACTACCACAGCATTAATATTGGATAACAATCCTATTTTTTTTCCTAGTTGTAAAAGTACCACAGAAGACACTTCTGATGGATGCTCTTAAAGAAGAATCAGAGATAATCTATGACTTTTGCATGTGCAATCCTCCCTTTTTTGCCAATCAGTTGGAAGCCAAGGTAAAATATCCTCTCCTTTAAAGTAATTGAATATTTATCTAAGTTTACCGTGCTTGCAAAAATAAGAGCAAAGAACAGCTTTTGTTTTGGAAGCTGTATCTGGATGCTTTTATAATCAAGCACCTGAAAACCCAATTCAGATTGACTTTTAACAAGAAAGAAAATTTATTGGTTTATATATCTGAGAAATCCAGCAGTAGTGTTGACTTTAGGAATAATTTGATCAAGGGGATCATAATAGTATCAAAGCTAAGGCTCAGTTTTTCCAGGTTTCCCTTGGCTCTGACCTCGCCCTGGGTTCTTTTTGTTCTTAGTCTGCTTTACTTGTGGCAGAGTAATATTTGCGGAGGGGGAGAGAGTGGGGAGAGAGCTCTTTTCTTCCCCAGATCATTTCACTTTTGGGTTTCTTCTGATTGGACCAATTTAGGTCACAATATAGTCCTGCATTGGGTTTATTGCTTTGGGAGGAGCTTAACTGTTTTTACTGCCACCTATCATTTGATAGTAAACAAATATCCAATTTAATCTTTCTGACTTCAAATGAAAAATATATTTGCTTATGAATATGGTAAGATACATTGAATTAAAAACAAAGAACCTAATAAAAACAGTACTATAAAATACGTATTTAACTAATTTTCTTTCATCTAGTATTTATTTTTGTATTATTTAATTATTGTGTTATTTTTCCATATGAACAACTGTAAACCTTTTGCCTCACTTAACACTTGTTATTATTTATTTTAATTATAGCCATCCTAGTGGGTATTAAGTGGTATCTCATTTTAATTTTGCTGTGCATTTCTCTGATAGCTAATGATATTGAAAATTTTTTCATGTGCTTATTGGCCATTTGTGTATCTTCTTTGGAGAAATAACTATTCAGATCCTTTGCCCATTAAAAAATTGGGTTATATTTTTATTATTGTAAGAATTCTTGGGCACATGTAATATCTTAATCAATAAAAAATATATTAAAAAAAAGAATTCTTTGTGTATTCTAGATACAAGTCTCTTATTAGATATATTATTTGTTAAAATACCCTTCCATTCTGTGGCTTGTCTTTCTTTTTAACTATATTTTTATTGATTTCTGAAAGGAAGGGAGAGGGAGAGAGAGATAGAAACATCAATGATGTGAGAGAATCATTGATTGGCTGCCTCCTGCACGCCCCCTACTGGAGATTGAGCCTGCAACCTGGTCATGTACCCTTTACTGGAATTGAACCTAGGACCCTTCATTCCGCAGACCGACGCTCTATCAACAGAGCCAAACTGGCTAGGGCCTTTTTTACTTTCTTTTTTTGTTTCCTTTATTTTTATTATTTTTTCCCTTTTTTTCCCGAAACATTTTTAATTTCTAGAAAAATGCTTATGTCATAATTCACTGTTGAAACATTGGAAACTGGAGAGGGAAGACAAAAAAGTTTCAAAAGGCAAAAAGCAAGTCCTGAAATAGTTAAGCCTTACGCCTGCGCAATCGGAGAAACTCCTAATGTCGGGTGGAGGGGCGTCTGCGCAACAAGTGAACCTATCCTTTTTTACTTTCTTGATGGTGTCCTTTGCAGATCAAAAGTTTTTAATGTTTAGGCAGTCCGTTTTATCTATTTTGTTGTTTTTGTTGTTGCTTGTGCTTTTGAAACCATTGCTTAAGCTAAGATCATGAAGATGTATTGTTATGTTTTCTTCTAAGAGTTTTAGCTTTTATATTAGACCTTAGGTCCATTTGAGTTATTTTTTTTAATATGGTCTGAGGTGTAGGAGTGAATTAAATTTAAAAAGTAAAACCACGAAAGTACTAGAAGAAAACAAATATTTATCTAATCTGTATTTGGAATATTTGCTGTACTGATATCAGGACAGAAACCATAAAGAACAAGTGACAGAATTGAGTACATAAAAAGGTGAAATTTCTGTATGTCTAATCATAAAGATGGAAGGTAAAAGATTCTAGGAAGGAATATTTGCATGAATGCAGTTTTTAAAATGTAGTATTGGAATGATTATATGATTTTTAAATCCAAAAGCTAGCATGACATTTGGAAACTAAAATTTTGCCTAAGCATTCTTATTTAGAACTAGATAACAGTCAAAGATTTGGTCTTAAGGTGTAAAATTTTTTACCAGGGTTTTTTGTTGTTGTTCAGGGAGTAAACTCTCGAAATTCTCGAAGACCTCCACCTAGTTCGGTAAATACAGGAGGGATCACAGAGATCATGGCAGAAGGAGGCGAGTTAGAGTTTGTTAAAAGGATCATCCATGACAGTTTACAACTTAAAAAAAGATTGCGGTAAGTTGGTTATTACAATATGGGAATATTTTCCTCCTGTGTAATTCCAAAGGAAACCATGTCACTTAGAGTAAATGTAATCACAGTTTTCTAAAGAACAGACAAAAATTGAAAAGGTAGCACATCTTACAGTATGCAGAGACCGTGTTTCTAAGAATGCTCTCATGCCTTTAATTGATTTGTGTTTCCTTTCGTCATCTATACTACATGGATAGAAAGGAAGAAAATACCGTATGATTGCATTGCTTTTATTTTGATACTGTGATGGAATAAAACAGATTCAAATATGGCTTTTGATTAGAAAACAGATGGGTTCAAATCTGCCCCATGAACCAGATAAATTTGTTGCTTAGTCTTTGAAGCAATTATATTCTTGGAATCAAGTCTCCCAAACAATGACAGATGTGAGGATATTGAGCTATCAAGAACTTAATGAAGGGAAATTGAGATGACTAACCAGTTCCAGAGGAGAGTTAAGGCTATTCCTTTTTAAAAGCTAATTATTTAGGGCAACACACCTATTATTAAACAGCATAAGGTACTCAAAAAGAGCTATTTGTCTCACTTGAATTCTCACCCTGCTAAGTGTTGTTGAAATGATGGATAACGCAGTAGTTCGAAACTAAAAGGTTTTCAATCCTAGAATTTAGCTTTGGGACATAGAGAAGTGTTTTGTTTTTGTTTTTAAATTGTGGTAAAATGTACATAACAAAATTTAACATCTTAACCATTTTAAAAGTGTACAGTTAAGTACATTCATATTGTTGTGCAACTAATCTCCAGAACTCTTTCTTCTTGGAAAAGTAAAACTCTGTACACACACAACAACTTCCCATTCCTCTTTCCTCCCAGCCTCTGGCAACCAGCATTCTACTTTTGATCTCTATGAATTTGACTATTCTAGGTACCTTATATAAATAGAATCAGATAGTTTTTGTCCTTTTGTGACTGGCTTCTTTCACTTAGCATCATGTCCTCAGTGTCCATCCATGTTATAGAGTGTGTCAGAATTTCCTTTTTTTAAAAAATATATTTTTACTGATTTCAGAGAGGAAGGGAGAGAGAGAGAGAAACATCAATGGGAGAGAGAATCATTGATTGGCTGCTTCCTGCATGCCCCACACTGGAGATCGAGCCCGCCACCCAGGCGTGTGCCCTGACCAGGAATTGAGCTGTGACTTCCTAGTTGATAGGTCGGTGCTCAACCATTGAGCCACACTGGCTGGATTTTTTTTTTAGAATTTCCTTTTTAAGGCTGAATAATATCCCATTGTATGTATATACTATTTTTTTATTCCATTCATCTGTTGATGGGCAGTTGGGTTGCTTTGGATTGTGGATAATGTTGTTATAAACAGGGTGTTCAAGTATCTCTTAATTCCCTGCTTTTACTTCCTTTGGGTATATTCTCAGAAGTGAAATTGCTGGATAGGGAAAACATTTTTTCTTTTTACTTTTTAGGATTTATAGGTATTTAAAGCGGCTTATTTTAGTAGAAGGCCAATTTCTTTTCTTTTTTTAAAATAGATTTTTATTGATTTCAGAGAGGAAGGAAGAAGGAGAGAGAAATAGAAACATCAATAATGAGAGAGAATCATTGATTGGCTGTCTTCCTGCATTCCCTTACTGGGGATGGATCACACAACCTGGGCATATTCCCTTGACTGGAACTGCAGCCTGGGCATGTGCTCTGATCAGGAATTGAACTGTGACCTCCTGGTTCATAGGTTCAACCACTGAGCCACATCTGCCGAGCTAAAAGGCCAGTTTCAAAATCAGATATCCTGGATGTGAGGGCGATCTGGCTGCGACATCTGTCACCCCATTGATCGCCAGGGTTGATTCGGCTGATCTGGCTGGCTAGGCAGGTGTCCCCTTCCTCCCTCGCCCATCCATGTGCGTCCCTCCCGAAGCTGCGCGCTCGGTCGAAGAGGACGACCTTCCCCCGCCGAGGAGAGGACCGGTCTTCAGTCAAGGGTATACGAGTAGCTGCGCTCCCCTGCTAGAACCTCCAAACAAGCTCTCAAAATCAGATATCCTGATTTGTTAAATGTGAGTTTATTTAAATATTTATGAAAAGCAACTGGATTATTGGATGGTCTGTTATAGAAATTTATACATTATTAAAGCCAAAAGTTAATAGATTGTTTTTTAAAATTGATTTATTAAAAGATCCATGAGGGTATGTAGAAAAAAGAGACTTAAGTAATACTGAGCATTGGGAAGAGTCTGAGTAAGTAAAGAAAGGTAGCAGAGTCTGAAACTTATGAAAAGAGGTAAGCAGGGCCATGTGGCCATTTCAGTATTTGTTATCTTTAGAGGGGACTGGTGCTAACCAGGAAAATGGGGAAGGCTATTTTCAGGAGGCTTTTAACCAGTCTATTATTATTATTCCCAAAGTCTCATTTGACCTACAGAATAACATTGTAAAGGAACACCATTCTTAAGGAGAGAAATTGGTCAGTATGTTTTAAGTCTGCCTGTACCTGGCTCTGGTAGCCTCCAAATTGAATGAAAGGTATACATTTGCTAGGAAGGGTAACTTGCTAGAGTTTGTCATGTCTCTAGAGAGTTGACTGTTTTGAGGTTGGTGTCACCTTATCTGGTTATGCTTTATTAAAAACGGGGCAGTGCCCATTTAAATATATTTTTATTGACTTCAGAGAGGAAGGGGGAGAGAGAGGGATAGAAATATCAATGATGAGAGAGAGTCATTGATTGGCTGCCTCCTGCACGCCCCATACTGGGGACCAAGTCCGAAACCCGGGCATGTGCCCTTGACCAGAATCGAACCCAGGACCCTTGAGTCTGCAAGCTGATGCTCTATACACTGATCCAAACCGGCCAGGGCTCCAATGATTTTGAGAGAGTGGAAGGGAGAGGGGAGGAGAAGGATACATCAATTGGTTGTCTCCTGCATGCACCCCAAAGGGGCTAGGAATCAAACTTGTAACCCAGGTGTATGCCCTTGACCAGGAAGAGAACCTGAGCCCCTCGGATGTACAGGCTGATGCTCTAACCATTGAACAACACAAGCCACGGCATGAAGTGCTTTTTAAAAAAACAAACAAAAATAGAGCAATGTTTCTTGAAAGTATTTGAAAATATTGTTTATAATTTCACATGGTACCATGACAACTTTCACTTGTACATATTACCTGTTCATGCCCTCCCTCACATTTTTATAGTTGACATGTTTATACTGCTATGCAATTCTCACATTTTAGGATGTTGTGGAAGCTGCATATTTTAAAGCTCTGAAAGATGTGCCCTGGCCGGTTTGGCTCAGTGGACAGAGTTTCAGCCTGCAGACTGAAGGGTCCCGAGTTCGATTCCAGTCAGGGGCATGTACCTTGGTTGCGGGCACATCCCAGTGGGGCGTGTGCAGGAGGCAGCTGATTGATGCTTCTCTCTCATCGATGTTTCTGACTCTCTATCCCTCTCCCTTCCTCTCTGTAAAAAGTCAATAAAATATATTTTTTAAAAAATAAATAAATAAAAACAGGGTTCAGCAATCTTGTCTGCTGTTAGGACTCTGGCAAGTTGAGAGGAGGAATGATAATAGGAAGAATAGAGGAAATGAAGTGCTTTTGTTTTTGTTTTGTTAATCCTCACCAGAGGATATTTTTCCTATTGATTTTTATTTTATTTTTTAAAAATATATTTTTATTGATTTCAGAGAGGAAGGGAGAGAAAAAGAGAGATAGAAACTTCAATGATGAGAGGGAATCATTGATCGGCTGCCTCCTGCACATCCCCCACTGGGGACCAAGCCCGAAACCCCGGTGTGCCCCTGTGACTGGAATCGAGCCTGGGACCCTTCCGTCCGCAGGCCACTGCTTCATCCACTGAGCCACACCCTCTAGGGCT